GGCGAGCGCCCGAGCGCCTTTTGCAATCACTGCTAGGAACCAACATTGTATCTCACATTTAATTATATATGATGGTAAGCGCTTTGAAGCTTCATACAAGGAACATAACTGTACCACCAATAAGTCATCACAAACTTGGAAAGCAAATTTCTACTCAAACTAGCCGTCCCCATATTTCAATATCATGACAAATTTCCACCAAACATTAGGAAACAAGAAACTATTACCAGTGGCACACTGAATTGTGATCATTCTTTTCTCTATGTAGTATGCACAATGCATAGGAAAAAAGGTCCTGATAAATAAAGTTCTCGTGTATACAATGTCAAAACAAGTCCTGTATCCACATACAAAAGCAAGAAATAACAAAAAAAAATCAACCTGACCTGTGAGTGATAACGAATACATGCTAAAACTATACCAAGATGATCAGTTACTTAAACATGATATCTAAACCTTCAAAACTCAAAACAGTATACAAAACTCATATTAATGGAAATATTGACTGATAAAATTTTCAGAACATTTAACACTTGAGAAACATGCACAACAATTAGAGATGTCATAATAACAATGTTAATATGGATAATTGGAGCTATAAGAGAGGATAAACTAAGAAAGGTTTACACTCAGAATAAAGATGCAATCCTGACAGAGGATCATTGGGAGAAACCAAAATAAACGAGAATGGACAATTTCCAATGGAAATATGTAGAAAACCCTATTAGATGAGGTAAATCAATTACGATTAGTAGTACAAGGAGGTATAGGGAAATCTAACAAAACATTACTAGAGAATAAAATAAAAGACTGCTCCAGTTTTACCCGTGATGTTACTATTACAAGAGTTGCATGGTGGAAAAACACTCATGTAGTTGAACCCAAACAATTCGGACATTATGATTGTTGTGAATTATTGTTGTTGCAGATTTGCAGGGTCACCATGGAGGTAAATAAACAATTAGTTTAGAAATGAAAAGAACAGGGCAAAAATAGCTAGTCTCTGTATATTTGCTGAAAGGTAAGAAAAAAATTAGAACTCAGCATAATAAACGTGTGATCCGAATATCTCTGTCAAGTTGCTAAAAAACTATTAATTGAAGTCCATAACAAATCTACTGTGAGCTGACTGTAATTTTTTTGTGGATCAACCAAACATGATAATAGAAACATCAAATACATGACTGTTTGACAAGAATATCCTATTTTAACAAAAAAAAAAAATACTTTGAGCCATAAAATAGTTAAGAGCAGCAATGCCAAAATCATGCATGTAATAGAAGCTGACCTTATCCTCTTCCTTTTCTTCTGCCTCATTGGTTGTACCCTCCTTGTTTTCCTTGCTCTCCTCGGTTGCTGGTGTCTTCTCCTGTTCTTGCTGTTTCTCAGTAACAAGCATTTTATCATCAAAGTTTAGCACCTCATCCTTTTCCCTGTCACAAAAGAGTTCCACAAGAAACAACAAGCTCATTAACGGGAACTGCAAACAAAGATTCAACTAAATGGTTCTTAGCAAACATGTACCACTAACAAAAGAAAAATCTTAACTGTGCAAGAGTTTCATCAGCTACGGTTCCCCAGTTACCACGACCTGCTCCATCGCGTTTCATCTCATAACCACGGCCAGTGCCACTCCGCCGCTCATACAACCTACGTGGTGAGCGTTCAGAGTCACCTCCAGATTCGTCATTCCCATAGCCACCACGACCCCGAAATCCACCACGTCGGCCGCCACCGAAAGGCTGGCGTGGCGGTCGTTCCTTCTCTTGAACTTTATCAGCTTCAACGTCTTCGCCTCCACCCCCATATCCCCCGGAGAAACCGTTGGCATTATCATTCCCGAAGTCACGATTAGGGGCAAGGCCTCCACTTCGACCACCTCTTCCGCGTCCAAGCCCGCCACGTCCAAACCCACCTCGCCCAGTCCCGCCACGTGCTGGTGCAGCATTGTTCCTCGCTTCTCTCGCCTCCCTCACTGTACAACGAAAGAGAACAACGGAACCAAGAAAAATAATACATTATCGAACCAAAATGGCAAAATATTGCTATTTAATTAACATATAGACTACGAAAATTAGATAAGACATTTAGTTCATCATTAAAAATGAGGAAAAATAGAGAACTTGATCGAAAAGCAGAAAAATCTCAGATTTGATGGAAAACATCATAAAAAAAAAAACCTTTTTTTTCCCAGAAATATCACAATGAGTCAAACCAAATCCATTCAGGACCAACCGGCTTGAGCAGGCGGAACTGGTTTAGCGGGGAGCTTCGCCGCTGCCGGGGAAGCGGCGGCGGAGGCTGGCGCATCAGGCTTCTTGGCCGCCATCTTCTGCTGGTGAGCGGCGATGAGTTGCGACGGGTCATCATTGTCGTCGTCTCCGAGGAGATCGAAGGGGTTCGCGGTGGCCATCTCCACAGAGGATCCTCTCGAGCGCCTGCCTCAGCGCGGTAGCAGTAGAATCTCGTAACTAGAACAGTAGCCTCCCCGACGCGATCTCCATAAGAAGCACTAGAAGAATCGGAGACGAGAAGTCTCACGGGGCAGCAGAAAGCTAGGGTTTTGGTGGCGCGGAGAGATGAAGTAGGCAAAGAGAAACCCTAGCCGCACTCTTCCACCACGGGCTTCCATCCAGAAAACCTAATCCCTTCTCCCCCCTCGAAATTGTTAATTTATTGTTCTGTGAGATTAAATGACGACTTTATTCACACTGTGGAGACTTATTTACATGGTCATCATTAACTAGCGAGAAGAAAAGCATGGGCATTTTAGGTACTTGAGTTGCTCCGTGGGCGTTCACGGGATTGTAGCGTGCTCTCCCGGGACAGGAAGAGCACGTGGAACGAACCCGAAGCGTGATGATAAGATCGTGCGGATGAGATTGTTCCGCGTTCTCGTCAGATTTATGAGAAGGGTATTCGTTGCATCAAGAATCGAATCCGAATCTCCAAGTGATGGACGCATATAGTTCGATTTGAGGATGATGGACCAGATTCGTATCCGTGTTCCTGATCGTTTTGGCCTATAGGAAACCGCACGCATATCAATACACATCAAATGTATGATCGAATTTAAAATGAATAAATAGATCCAAAACCATATGGTATAGAATAATGCGAAACATCTAATCGAGAGAATCATTTAAATATATAAAAATTAAAAATCAAGATAAAAGTAATTTAAACATGAACAATAAAAAAGCATGAATACATATATATAATCTTACGTAATTAGTTATTTTTAGTATTATAATTTTTTACTTTTAAAAAACTATATTAATATACTTATATTTACGAAAACGAAAGATTGAGATTCTTATATAGAATTAAACAAATAATTTTATAAGATTAACGAGAGATAAAGATTTTTGTTGAAACAACGAGATTAAATATTTTTTTTTTATAAGTACGAAGATTTTAATATAATTTTAAAAAATAAAAAATTAAAAATATTATGAATAATTAATTAGACATGAGCAATAATTTCTTGGATCCATGGTTTTTCAATAAAATTAAATCACAAGACACAGTAGAAGAGGAACAGAAGAAATATTATATTTTCTCTGGCTTTGGATAAGATCAACTTGTTTGATTTCTTATATATATTAAGTGAATGAGAGAGGACATGTTTGCTTATGTTCTGCTCCAAAAATGGAAATGGCAAGGAGGTTGAGTCTGCAGTTGGATCAGGTGAATGGAACCTCAATGGTGGTCGTCCTCCTCGTTGGCAACCATCAAGCTGATGTGATGTGCTCCACCTCCATGGTGGTCGATCAACGGATGATGTATCTTTCAATGCAAATACTCCCTAAAAGCTAATGAAAGGATTGGTTAGAGGACAAGAGACATCCTTGTCATGCAGCAACCACCACAGTAAGTCCATGACAATATAGATTAGCACACTATCTGCTCGATGGACTAATAATGCACCTCATGATGTGATTGCCCATAGTGACTTCAATCGCATAATATTTGCCTCGACTTGCTCACAGAAATGATACAGGGGAAGCTGAAGCATAATTTTTATCTCTCAACAAGTCTTAATAGATTCAAAGATGCAGAGCATTCTTATCCATCAGTAAAGCATTAGAAAAGAGTGTAATAGCATGGAACTATGTGAGATATCAGCAACCAAGGCAGCATCACAACAAAGCACTTGAGAATGACATGAAAAGCAGAGTCAATCACATATCCTCTTCTCTGTTACCAATCTTATCATCTTTGAAGGGAAGAAATGGGGTTCAGAACTATTAAGACTATTATCAAAATGTTGCTTTTTGATCTGGCCTATGATTAATACTGCCCTTAAGATTAACAAAGCAGTGATACATGGATTTCCACATGCCAAGTGATAGCAGTACCAATAATGACATTTGCACTACTGTACTATATATCTTATTTAATTAATAGGTTGACACCAAGGCAAGTATATGTTCCCCATGGTAAATTGAGCTTGCCTTTTCAATCCATATTAGGAGGTAGTGGTGGTATATCTAGTCTATCCTTCCAATCAATCCTGCAGGTGACTCTGTGCTTCTGGGAAAAGATCTGTGGTGGCTGAGGATGGAAAGGAAATGCTGTGAAGGTGTGGAGAGTGAGCATAACTCGAGGAATTCAATCAGCCCGAGAAGGATGGTGGGAGGTGGATTGAGACTCTTCGGTATGCAGCTTGAGATGGCGGCTTCCCCCATGAAGAAGTGTTTCAGCACCGACTGCCTCACCTGTCCTGCCGCTGCTTCATCTTCCCCTTCCCCGTCGTCATCTTCTTCTCTTGTTTCTATTGATGAAACCGCTGAGAAGACCTCTAATGGCTATCTCTCTGATGGCCTGGTTGTCAGAACTCAAGAACGCAAGAAAGGTAAAGCAATTCCTGTTCTTCTCGGTTCAGCTTCTGTGGCTAAGTTTGCATTGATTTCTCGTGTTCAGGAGTTGCTTGGACGGAGGAAGAGCACAAACTATTCCTAGCAGGGCTTGAGAGACTCGGAAGGGGAGATTGGCGAGGCATCTCTCGCAACTTTGTGACCACAAGAACACCAACTCAAGTGGCCAGTCATGCCCAGAAATATTTCCTGCGACAGAGCGGCCTCAACAAGAAGAAGCGTCGTTCCAGTCTCTTCGATGTGGTAAATCGCTCTCCGTCTGCTGCATTCACTATCATACGGCTTCTACTAATCCAAACATAGATCAGGTCTCGAGTCATGAGATTGCAGCTCAAATCGGTCACTCTCCGAAGCTAGAAGAGCATTCCCCTGTTCTGTCACTTGGCACAACATGCCGCAGAATCCCTGAGACCGCTGTTTTCGATCTCAACACTTCGGAACAAGAATCAGAAACCCACATTTCTTCATGCCTCAGTCTGATGCATAATTGCTCCATCAGCACGGTATCACAGTCGTATTCGTTGGTGGAAGTGCATCACGAGCAACCATGTCATGTGGATTTAGACCTCAGCATATCCACATCAAGGCCAAATCACAATCTTGAGACCTCAATCAGCGGTCTGGTATTCGAGATCATCTGAATCACCTGCTTGAATCACAGCCCTCCGGAAATCCCCACCGGTCAAGGAGACGCAAATGGTGCTTCCATGGAAATGTTAGAAACTGACAGAAGCTGCTCCTCCCACCAAATGGTCACTCATCTGAAGTCTATTCAAGCAATTCTCATGCAACGATCTCTTTAATCACTGTCTACCGAGTGTAGAATTGTTGATGTAAGTCAGTTGTCCATACTCGACTTTTCTGTATGTGTTGCTGCAATGCATGTAAAATACTGTCTACCCAACTGTGTTTCTACGCTCATAAGCTCTGCAGTTCGATGCATTATTTCTACTTGATATTGATTAGATCTTACCGCATGCGGATACATGCTGCCTTATCCGCATGTGGTAAGATCTCGCAAGATTCATAACAGGGAGCATGCAATGTCCATCCATGTACGGCCACATGAGCTCGGTGTGTCGTTGCTCCCTTAGTTGTATGTATCCTTGTTTCTCCATTGTCTTCTAGCTTCTTCGGATGGGTACCATCATGTCCTGATACTGGCAGTATGTCTTGGTCCAAGAACAAGCTTCATTTACCAGGGGATGGGGGGACTGCATGACAGCTAGGTGGATGCAGAGAACATACAGAAGAATCAGATTCTTTTTGGAGGATAAAGAGAGTCGGATCAAAGATCAACAGCTCGTGTTTGATTCTGAGACTTGTATATGAAGGAGTCATTTGTTGATGAATAGCATACATGAATAGAGATACAAATGTCAAGCATCAGAAATATTTCAGTTTGTATTGAAACCAGTATTTGCTGTCCTCAGTATACAAATGGAGTGCCTTATTTTTGGATCTCAGAAACTTATTTTCCGAATCAATCATCAAAGTGCATAAGACATGCATGAAGCTAAACAATTCAAACTTCAGCCAGAAACCATTTCAAACTCCTAGGATCGGAATAGAACAGAGCCTCAAGAGTAAAGTTCAAGTGATCCCAGCATTACCTTGCTGATGGACGGATGCGACATATGCACTATTCTGGCTCACATCACTGGCTTCCATGTTAGGGTACTCACTGCTTGCGCCTACGTTCTCAGGCCTGTCATGAGGGGTTTCCAGTTCCAAGCTCTCCTTTAGCTGCATTACACTTCTGCCATGGTTGGCCTCTGATGGGATCCCTGTGATGTGCATTTCATGGCTATATTAGCACATTTCCAAACAGAATTTATGTCGTATTGGTCTTGCAGCTTGGCATCGACAATATCTTCAATGTTCCCTTGGACAAGTCCTTGGCGGACTCAATGTGTGCATTCTTTGAACCTTGTAGGAGTGGAGGCTGCTCTGTGATCAGCTCTAAAAGAACCACACCAAAGCTATACACATCGCTTTTCTGACTGAGCTGGTAGGTGGTGTAGTGCCACCTGCTGTAATACAACAATCCTTGGAGACCTGCCAGATGTGATCAACTGTCTCATTTGCAGAAGGTATAAACACAAACAGCAAAAGAAATGATAACAGCAGCAATAGAAACTTCTAATGCTGAAATGCATATCAGCAAATTAATTTTCTCTCCTTTGTGATGTATGTTTAACCTAAGATGTCTATGCATAATGCACAAAATAAATGATAACATGAAAATAACAATTTACTTTCAAATGTGTGGTTTACGAATGACCATTGTTTATCTTCTTGACCATCATCTATCAACTTAGTTATGTATGTTTCAACTCTCTAGCAGCAAAATTAAAGAAATGAGAAGATTGACATAATCAGGATCAAGGTATCTTTGACAACCCAAAATCTTCTGCTATCTTGGCCTCCATCCTTTCACTCAAAAGGATATTCCCTGTCTTCGCATCTCTGTGAATTAATGGTGGTTGGCACCCCTTATGCAAATATACTCTGGTCCTGCATATCTCAATGAAACACATGAAGTCAGATAATGAGAACAACAAACAGCCCGAGAATTGGGCCAAGAACATGAGCACTTTATGTGACACTAAACCTTGTGCAGCATCGACTGCAATCTGGAGTCGCTGCCCCCGACTCAAAGCTCCAGCATTATGTGTTCTGCCTGTAGATCAGTGTGAAAAACCATCAGTTGTAAGAGGAATACAAATTATTGTAATAAAGTAGCTGTCTTTTGAAGAAAATAGGCAATGGCTCAGTTCAATAACAAGATAATTAACTAACTATTTAAATAATAATGCATTCCTAAAGGCAGGAATTTGCTGCAACTGAAAGTTCCAAAAAGCATGTCATAGTTTTGCAATGTTTATAAGAAGATAATAAGAATATTTTCGATAATTGTTAGGATACCCACATTTTTTCACTAACAATAGAGAACATATGCTCAGTTACAAGTTTTGGAACTCATTTTCTTTTAACTTGGTTTCATTTGCTCTCAACTAGCTTCATACATTAACAAAGCATCATCCGAGAATTACATGCTAAACTTACTAGAACAATGACTGAATTTTAGGCAGCATGTGGTACCAGCAGCTTGAAGCTTGTGAAAGCCATTTCATATCATGGCCATGCCATTTGTTTGGTCTCCTTCGATCAGCGCATTCCTATGCGGGCCATATCATACTAGCAACATTACAAAACCCCACACACTACCAATATGTAAAACCTTGCTCTAGAGAGATCTAATCAATGACAAGAAAATGGCTGAATTTTGATCAGTGTCAGATACCAACATGTTCCACAGGCAACAATCTTTTGTTTTGAGGTTGTGAATACTTGAAAAATCCTTGGCAGACAAAAGAAGTGTCATCATACTCTCTTGTCTATTGAGTTATGCTGAGTTGAACTAGACAGTATCTGTACCATAGATCCAGATCGGAAAGCAATGACCAAACTAGAATGTGGAACAGAGTTCCAAACCTTGCAGATGATCTTGTAGGGTCCCTTGAGACATATATTCATAAACAAGTAACAGACAGTCTTTGTCATTGCAGCAACCAATCATAGAAACCAAATTCTGGTGATGAACCCTCGTTAAGTGATGAGCCTAAAAAGCGGGAAAAAAAAAATCCGGATTATGTTCCAAGCTCAAAAACAACAACAATATCTGAAGAAATAGGGAAAAGAAACAGAAGGGACACTGGTGAATGTTTCTTAGTACCTAAGCAGTCTAGAATATGACAAATCTCCTCAAGTATCTAAGCAGTCTAGAATAAGCAGTCTAAATTTTGAGTCCAATTCTTCAGCCTTCACCACTTGAGAGTTTACTTGAGATTAACACCCTGAGCTTGCTCATTTAACACATTATAGTTCACAGGAAACATGACAGCTAAAAGTCCTTAAATAATCTAGTTATCACACTTAAAGTACATAATCTTCCTATATTCCTTCCAAACTTCTTTTATACATTAAATCTAAAATATTTTATAATAGATTATAAACATTAAAAAATAAATGGAATTAAAACAGTATAAACCTTACTGTAAGTCCATTTTGTGATTTTACAAGGAAAGCAGAAGGAATTGACCCAATTAACTGGTTGCTTGACAAATTTCTGCAAAATGCAACTAGATGTTAGATCATTAAACTTCAATTTAGCTTCGTTTTTTTGGGTGAAAAACCAATGCAATGGAAAAACTTACAGGACTTCGAGGAAAGGAAGCTCTGCTAAAATGTCAGGTACTGGCCCTGTTAAGTTGTTGTATGACAGGTCCCTGGAAATTGCCATCAGACAGCCATGACCTTCCAAATTATCATACAAAATCACCACCTGCCAAAGCTTTTTCTCAATGAGCTCAACGGGAGCAGTTCATTTATAAGGATATGGGGATAGGTCATCATGGGAAAGTTCCATTGCTTAAAATACTTTCGTTCATTGACCTGACAGCATTCTTAAAGCAACAACTAGACAGGAAAAGCTGATGGATTTCGTAGCCTGTATGGAAGACCTTTGGAACCAGATCAAAACAATAACCACCGTTTATATCAGTAACATGGGAAAGGAGACCCAGCTACGTGAGAGCAAAGGACATAAGATAGTCAACTTGGTAGACTGTGTAATGCATGAAACCTAGCTGAAGAGAAAAGGATGTCTATCAAGAAATTCTACTGCAGAGTTCTGCTCCACATAAAAAAACCTTCAGTCTCACTCCTCAAAGTTTGTAGGCATGTTTCTACTAATTTAACATTTTTATTTGGGATTTAAAAGTCAGTCCTCGTTGACAAATAACAGTTGGTTGAGAATTCGTACCTATTAAAATTATAGGAGATCCTGATTCCCAGGCCAAAATTAACCTTCGGCAAGACCCCTAACCAAAAAAAAAAAAAGAAAGATAAAAGAGCAGACATTGACATAGCTTAGCTTCTCTAAGTTGATATAGTGTACTCTTCGTTCTCAATTCATAATAACCACACTGGAAGCAATAGAAGGAAATAACTATTTCTTTAGTTGATAGGAAGAGATTGACATTTTATTAGCTTGAAGTGGGAAACACTTACTAATACTCGATTGCTTTGATGTTAGCAAAGGAATGACATATACTGCCCGTCAATCCACTATAAGACGAGTTTCTGCAATACACGAGTCCATGAGGATGTTAAATAAGCATATTAAGTTGCAAAAATCTTGGTCTAGACATTTGGAAACTCTCACTGATGTAATCCCAGGGGGATCAGAAATACTATAGCTGCAATCCAAACCATCCCATGTATCCCTCCTGGAGCGCATGGATCACCCGACCACGTCCAATTTCTGTTCACTTTATACTGATTCTTGATTGCCTCAATGGCATCCACTGATGTCACAAAAATGAGGGATACGTTTCTTCTCTCAAGAAAGCAGCAATAATATCAGAACCATCAAGAGGGAACCGAGGAGGAGGTGTACGTACATACCGTCGGAGCTATCGGTGGCGTTCTCCGTGAGCTGCCTGACGGAATAGACCTCGAGCGCATTGATGATGCGCGGAAGGGTCGAAGAGTCTGTCTCGGCGAGGGAGAAGTTATGGTCCGTATCAGACGGTCTCGTGGCGTACACATATCCCGATTAGAGGTCTCAGGGGGAAGAGTACGGGGGGGTGGTAGAATTGGCCGTTGAGGTTGATGTTGAAGTTTCTGGACTGGCCTGGGTCAAGGGATTGGAGGTCGGGGAAGTGCATAAAGATGTGGTGCTGGGGGCAGGCATCCTCAGATTTGGGCGTCTTCCAGCTGAACTGGGGCGACGGCGGTCTGGAGCACGGCGGAGGGAACCTCGAACAAAACATTGGCGAAGATCTGGACAGGAGAGGTGGTGTTGATCGCGGTCCAGTAGGAGGAAACGTCGACGGTTTCCCACAGCCGATCGAAAGGGTCGTCCTGGAACCAGTTTGTTACGTTCGTCGATGAAACGATGTCAACGACAATGGGCTTTTCTGTATCCAAAACCCAAAATGCAATGACTAAAAGGAGCCCAGCGTCTGTTGTTGGGCCACTGTCCAACCACAAGTTGCGTCTCAAGCCAACCATTGATCCTGATATGTTTGACTCGACGACACCGAGGCAGTTGCATTCGGATGCAGTGTTTCATATCTCAGTGACGATATGGAAGGGGTTCCGTTGTCCTTGTTTACGAGACAGATGGATAATATAGCCGACCAAATGCAATAGTGATCACCTTAGATTTATGCGTCCAAGTAACATCGGAGATGTTTATCTTATATTATGTGATTCTATAGATCTTAATTGTAGTCTAACTTATAATAGGATTCTTTAGAAGATGATATTAATTATGTAAATTACATTAATAGTATGAAGTCTAATATATGTTTTATATTTATTAGTTAAAGGGATAATTTATAAGAAAAAAATATAAAAAATATATTATTATATTATTATTATTAAAAGTGAATTTTATAGTATACTTTGAGGTCACTAATCAAGTTTTATAATCATAAAATTTTATTTTAGGACTTGGTATAATCATATTCAATTGTCAAGTCGGTATAGATACTTTATGACATATTATAATAGTTTTTTTAAAAAAAAATAGTAAGTAAGTACTCTTTCAAATATATGCATTATGATGTAAAGTACTTAACGATTAGAGAAATAATTCAAAAATAATTAGTTAATTAAGAACATAAGTTGATTATTGATTCATTCACTTAGGACTTATGACCTAAAACGTTTAAAAGAATATTTTTTTATGATTGAGTTTGTGAGCGATCCACAAAAGATATGATAATATATGTTTGAATAAATATTATAATTGATATTCTTGTTTATATAATTAAAGTTATTTATTCTGATACATTGTTCACATTTATGTAGGTATATATTATAGTTGAATGCGTATAATAGGATTCTTTTAACAAAACAAATTACATAGATTATTTTGGACGGAAGAACTAACAATGTTATCATATATAGAAATAAATATGATATTAATAATATACAACCACATTAATGGTCTGATTTTATGATTGTTGGATTTATTGGTCTGTCTTATAAAATTGGTATACATGCATAGTATATTTGATTTATCATTTTAATTTTTGATATTAAAAATTTTCATATAATATAATATAATCATAATTTTTATGTTTACCGTTTATTGATTCCCAGATATTAACACCCGAGTGGAGATTTGACGCTCCGGCCGGCCATCGTAGTTACCAACGTCGCTCTTCCAAGATACTTTTGGCCCTTCAGTAGAGTATAGCAGTTTCGTTTCCCTTGCGGAAAGCTTTAGAGGATTCTTTCTTGTGTTGCTATCGTTGTATCTGAGTTAACTGCGTCCAAATATTGTGGTTGATCCCCGTGTCTACGGAGATGTATGTATGGTATAGTAGTTTTGTCGTCCGTGTTGCTGTAACCATCAGCAATACCACAGTCGATGCTTACTCTGTTCATCTTTTGCAGTATAATATAAAATCCTTCATGACAAATTCCATTCACCTTAGACCGCTGACAAACATTAATGAGAATAAAGATGAAAGGTGTGATTCTTATTGCTGTTGCTCGGCTTCGATCCCGGCCAACTAACAAGCAACTATACATATAGTTTCCGTGGATCTATTCCCCAAGGTTATCTTGGTTTACTACAACGACGATGTATAGTGGCCTTTTGCTTGCATGTTTTGGGCTACAATGAAAGGTTTCGTGGAAGAAGCTTTGCTAACAGCTTACCACTTGTTTTTGGACTTACAGAAACTGCTTTCCTAACACACATAAAACTAAACTATTGGACTGGAAAAGATGTCAACATCATCTTGCCAATGGACCGCTGCTTACCAGAGTCATTTCTACAACATATGGGTTACTCTCGATTGCATCACCTTCTTCCATGTATCTTTCCCCTTTGCTTGTGATTGGGTTCTCGATCCTGTCACGAGGGGTCTGTAGTTCCAAGCTCTCCTTCAGCTGCATCACCACATCCGTCATGGTCGGCCTCTGTTGCGACCTCTGCGATGTGCATTTGAGTGCTACGTCAACACATTTCCAAACGGAGTTGACGTCGTACTCCCCTTGAAGCCGGGCATCAACAATGTCCTCGACGTTTCCCGTGGCAAGTCCTCGCCTCACCCTTTGAATTATATGTGAACCCCCTGAAACTTGTAGCAATGGAGGCTGCCCTGTGATCAGTTCCAGAAGAACCACGCCGAAGCTATACACATCAGTTTTCTCACTGAGCTGGTAGTTATTGTAGTACCTGCACAAGTCATATTACAATCTCCAATTATCTCCATTCTCAGTCCTATATGTGATACGTGATAACAAGTAGAACACTTGGGAGAACTCTACATACTCCGGATCAAGGTATCCCGGGGTTCCCACCACCGTTGTAGATACGTGAGTGCTGACCTCATTTTGGAAAGTCTTGGACAACCCGAAATCTGCTATCTTGGCCTCCAGCCTTTCACTCAAAAGGATGTTGGCTGTCTTCACATCTCTGTGGATCAGCGGTGGTCGGCATCCCTTGTGCAGATACTCCAGTCCTGCATCTCAACAAAACCTATCAACCTCGTGTATTGAAGAAGACGAAGTGTAGTACTGATCTATGTGACTCCAAACCTTGTGCAGCGTCGACTGCAATGTGGAGTCGCTGCCCCCAGCTTAAAGCTATAGCAGTATTGTTTCTTCCTGTCGCAGATCCATGTAACAAGCCATGAGCAGTAAGATAAAAGACTAGATAGTAGCAAATATAAGGAGTTCCAAACCTTGCAGATGATCTCGTAGCGTCCCTTGAGACATGTACTCATAGACAAGTGCCAGAGAGTCTCTATCCTTGCAGTAACCAATGAGAGAAACCAGATTCCGGTGATGAACCCTTGTTAAGCTCTGTGCCTGCAATAAGGAAATAAAATCAGGATTCTGTTTCATGCTCAAGAACACCACCAACCTCTGAAGAGCAGATACAGAAAAGAAGAAGAGATGCTGATAAATGTTCTTTAGTATCTGAGAAGTCTAGGATATAACAAAGATCTTCTGGACTATTGTAGATTTATTACTACGTACGAACAAATTTCATACGTTGGCCCTATGTGAACTTCCAGAAAGGAAGACACCGCTTCATTTCTGCCAATGAATAGCATATGACACAACTCAAACTCTCCCTTATGGAGCAACACTTTAACATACAATCACTGCAAATGTACAGGCATGTAAGATATCAAAGACTTAAGTGTTCAGAATCAATTACCTCAGCAAAAAACTCTTTAGTATCTTGAGATGATGACTGGGATCGCATTTTAACTGCAACTTCAGTACAGTCTTCCAAGTAGCCATGGTAGACAGTCCCAAATCCTCCTTTGCCAAGGACCTTTGCAAAGTTGTTGGTTATATTCTTCAATTCCGTGTATGGGAACTGACGATTCTCAAGTTGCAATGAACGATCGTGATTATCAGTTACTTGCATGGTTCCACCGTGACGATTTAAGCCTTTGACGATATGCACATTATTGTCAAATGCAGGTCAGAGTTAATGGAACAAATGGATACTATTTGTCACTTACATCTGAGCTACAACTGCCTGGGCACAAATACAAGAGATTTGCTATAAGAAAAAAACTTACCTCGTCGCTTTCTCAGCCTCCAAAACATGACTATCACCACAAGTAGTACAACAGCAACTATGCAGAGAATCACAATCAGAGGTGTTGATATCTTCTTTTTTGTTGATGTTGGGGTTACCGTGCATGAATCTCCATCGGCACAAAGATTCGGATTGCCTTCAATCCTAGAATTATATAGATTTTGAACGACCTTAAACATTGAAGTTTTGAAGAATTCTCAAGGGAAGAAAGACAGAAAGAGGAATCTGAACTCAGTAAGTAATTACTCTTTGTTGGAGAATGAGATGTTTTTTGGAATTTATAAAGTTCATTATGATAATTTTTACAGTATACTTCTATTTTCTCTTTGCTATAGCTGTACTTTTTTTTTTTTACAAAGGTTATGTAACGAAAAAGGAATTCGAGCCCAGGATTTTGCGATAAATGGTTTCACTGACTAAGCTAGCTGACACCTTGACTATAGGTGTACTTCTTATCATAAAAACCCAAAACATAAAACATATTATTTAGATAAACATTAGATCTGTGCTCACAGTGTTGATTTACTACTTCTATATGCAGACGACACCACTTGAGACCTCAGATGAGATTAGCATGCCAAGCTTGACCTCATTTAACTCATAGAATTCACAGGATACCTGAGAGCTAAAGGTCCTTATCTCACATAATCCAGTCATGACACCTGAAGTGCAAATTCTTTCCGTATTTCTTTCAGGCTTCTATTAGATATGCATTAGTTTGAGTTACAAACAGAAGAAATAATTAAACTAGCCTGAAATTTAAACACAGAACAAACCTTAGGGTAAGTGATCCATTTTGTGTTCTGAGAAGAAGAGCAGAAGGAACAAACCCGGTTAACTGGTTGTTTGACAAATTTCTGCAAAATGCAACAATATGTTAGATCATTAAGATTCCATTTAGTTTTCTGAAAACTAAATACAATCAATAGAAAAACTTACAGGACTTCAAGGGTAGGTAGCTCCACTAAAGTGTCAGGTATTTGCCCTGTTAAGTTGTTGTAAGACAAGTCCCTGGAAATCATCACCAAGCAGCCATTACCTTTCCAAATTATCACATATAATTACCACCATCAATTTCTTCTTCAATTATCTCAAGGGCAAGAGGTCAATTTTTTAGAAGAATTGGGGTGGAATGCCACAAGAAATTTTCATTAGTTAAGGAGTGTAGATCATTTACCCAACAATAGTAACTAAGCCAACAATTTGAGAAGAAAATCTGACCGATGCCATGGCCTGTTTGGAAGGCTTTTGGAACCAGACCAAAATATCTACTACCAATTTTATATGTAAAAGAAGAACCAGCTACATGAGAACAATGGATATAAGATAGTCCACTTGGTGGACTGTGTAATGCATGACACTAGCAAAAGAGAATAGGGACGGTTATCAAGCAAAACCACTGCAGAGTTCTGATCCACTTACATAAATAATATCTATAGTTTAGATCCATCTCGAAATTTGCTGACATCTGTATATTAATTTAGCATTTAAATATGGTATCTAAAGGTTCTAATAGACAATAACAGCTGCTTAGGAATTTGATAAAATCATATGAGATCTGATTCCTGAGCCCAGTTAACCGTTGGCAAGAATCCAAACTGATAAAAACTGAGCAGATACTAACATAGCTTAGCTTATCTAAGTTAGAATGGTGTAGTCTTCCTTTATATCTTCAACTTATAATATCCACAATGTCCAGAATCTCTTATGACAGAAGCAATCTAAACTAAACAGAAGGATATAACTATTTCTTTAGTTGACGACCCTGTCAAGATATTGCCGTTGTTAGGAAGAGAAAAAAACTGTTACTTTGAAGCAAAACACACTTACAAATACTTGATTGCTTTGAGCTCAGCAAAGGAAGAATCTATTGTACCCATCAGTCCACCAGAAGACAAGTGTCTGCACAATACATAACTCTATGAGGATGTTTAATAAACATGTTAAGTTGGACATATTCCAAAAATTTTTGGTATAGCCTTCTTGAAACTCACACAGCTGTGATCCTTGGAGAGTCAGAAACGCTATAGCTACAATCCAAACCATCCCATTTGTACACTTCTGGAGCACATGGATCACCTATCCAATTTCTGTTCACCTTGTAACGCTTCTTGATTGCCCCAATGGCATCAACTGATGTCACAGAGAAGAAGGGAACAGATTAATGAATATATATATATATATATATATATATATATATATATATATATATATATATATATGTGTGTGTGTGTGTGTGTATGTATGTATATATATATGTATGTATATATATGTATGTATATATATACATACATATACATATACATATACATATATATATATGTATGTATATGTATGTATGTATATATATATACATATACATAAATATATACATATATATATATACACATATATATATATATACATACATATATATATACACATACATACATATATATATACACATACATACATATATATATACATAGATATATATATATACATACATATATATATATACATACATATATATATATACATACACATATATATATATACATACATATATATATATATATATATATAAAGGGGGAAAATGGCAAAAGTTCTGTATAAAGTTCACTCGGCAAAGAAGAAATGTTTATGCAGAATTCCAATCTCAGATATGCTAAATAAGCACTGATGTTCAGAAAAGAAATGTTGGAAACATGCTAATGCTATTAGATAGTTATCATGGAATGAGATTTTCTTTAGCTTTTTCGCAAACATATGAGGATTGGCTACTTGGCAAGGCTTTTTCCAAAGGAACAACGAGAGAAAAAGAAGGCATGTTCGCATCTTTTTAGCTAAATGAAAAAATTCAGACCCAATAAGCTTGGGAAAGAAGGAAAAAGGAGCGAGCGATCTCTTGCGGTTGATTATAAAATGATCTTCTCCAGGCAGATTGGAAGCACAAACACATCATTCATACAAGCGAAACCTAATTGGTTCGACATTCCAAGAAGACAGCAACCACATCAACATTTTCAAGAGAAATACAAGGTGGTTCGCGTGCATACCGTCGGAGCCGTCGGTGGCGTTCTCCGTGAGCTGCATAATGGTATAGGTCTCCAGCGCATTGATGATGGGCGGAAGGGTCGAAGTGGCCGTCTCCTTGATCGAGACGTTGTACTGGTACAAATAAGACGGAACGGTGGAGTAGATGTAGCCCGACAAGAGGTATGGCGGGGAGTAGGGGCGGTCCAACCACGGGTTCCCATTGAGGTAGACGGTGAAGTTTCTGGACTGGCCTACGGCGAGGGGTTGGAGCTCCGCGAAGTGCATGAAGATGTTGAATTGGGGCCGTACATCCTCATAGTCAGGCAAACCCCACTCGAAGAGCAGCTCGGCCTTGGTAGAGTTGATGGGGACAACGGCCGTTTGGAGGACGGCGGAAGGCACCTCGAACATGTCATCGAAGCGGCTCTGGACGGGAGAGGTGGTTCTGATCCGTGTCCATTTGTTGTCGTCGTCGAAGGGTGTCCATATCCGATCATAAGGGTCGTCTGGGAACCTAATCAATGAACTTTATTCAGATCCGAACCCAAAATAAAACTGCAAGAAACATATGAACTAAGATCCATATGTCAACGGTTCCATAATTATGCAGCCCGATAAGGGAAAATGAACAAACGACGCCGCAGAGACACCTAGGAAGAGTGACTCACCTAAGCTCGATACTTCCTCCAAAATCGAACCTGGAGTGTTTGACCAACGCCACCGAGGCGGTTGCAGCCGGATACAGTGTTTCTTTCCTCAGTGGCCTCAACTCCAGTGACGATATGAAAGGAGTTCCCTTGTCCTTGTTTACGAGACATACGGATATATAGCCAGCCAAGGCAACTGTGATCACTTCAGACTCATGCGTCCGAGTGACATCGGAGATGTTTACTGATTCCCAGAGATTAACGCCTAGGTGGAGATCAAAAAGTATGGGGTCGACACTGCTGACCTTCCGGCCATCGTAGTTGCCATGAAGGAACGTCGCTCTTACCAGATACTTTCGACCTTCCTCCACGGGAAGAGTGTAGCAGCTCCTTTTATCTTGCGGAAAGCTTCTGAGGGTTCGATCTTGTGTTGCTATAGTTGTATTCGAGTCGAACCGCGTCGAGATATTGTGATTTACCCCGGTGGCAACGTAGTTGGTGTCGGAGTTGTATGGTATGGTAGTCTTGGCGTCGGTGTAGCTGTAACCATCGGCGATGCCGCAGTCGATGCTTATGAAACCTGTAAACAGGATATGAAGTACGTACAGCTTACCTTCATCGTGATAGAAACAAAAGGCTCCGTTGAATAAGCTTTACATACAGCTTACCGTCAGTGTTGCGCGTGTGATCACCAACTCCGACTGTCACGAGCACAACCTCCATCCAGATGAAGAAGACCCATGTCTTCCTCGAAGCCGGGGCAACGCGTCCCGTGGCGGCCATTCCCTCCTCCTCTTACCTTTCCGATGACTTGATGATCGGTGCAACTGGGAGAAGGAAGACGACTTCTTATAGCTGCATCAACAGCTGGTTGTCGTAATCCCAGCAAAGACACGTAGAACACGAGTGGCACGGAAGATCATGAATCCGATCCTCGATCCAGTCTCCCAAACGTCTTAGCTACGTCAAATGCGATTTCTGAACGCATACGTCTGGAGCACCGTGAAGATGGAGGTGATGGCTCCGTCGTTCAGTGAAGTCGACGAACGTTTTCTTCTTGAGAAGTCGGTCGTCGTCGTCGTCTACTGAAATCTTCCGAATAGTAATAGCAAGTCATTAACATCATGGGTTGGACAATGCGGGCGACTCAACGATATCAATATCAATGGACGGAATCAGGGAAGTTTCATTCATGGAATAAGTGAACCATGTGAGTCGATGAATTAACTTCGGCTAACCACGGTGAGGGAAAAGATCTTCACATCAAAAAAATCTGTAACCTTACGGACACTCCACCGGAAAATTATGAGTTCTTTTCATTTTCAGTGAAAGACTTGTTGTTGATTGAAGCAAATTGCAACTATAAACCCTATAAACCTTCCACCAGAGAAATTGCAAAGAAGTCCGACCTATCTATTCACATCAAATGGTTGGCGACTTGATGATTTCAATCCAGTAGAAACTCATTTTCAATTAAAATCTATTTATTTATTTATTTCTTTGCAAAGAATAAGTGGCGAAAATCATGACTTGACAAAGTCTTTCCCAACTGGTCTTAACTAACACCTTGAAAAAAAAATCTTGTTTACCAACTAGTCTAACACCTTCAAGAAAATCTTCATCCAAAAAATAATCGTCTCATATATCTGATGGTGGAATAAAAAGATCAAGAATTACTACAAAGGAACGCTAGTCTAAAATAATTTATTTATAAACTTGAGAAACTCAAATAACTAGTCCAAAATAATAGAGGTCGACGGACATGACTTGAAACATTAATAATATTTGAGCATGAACAAAGATGAAGTATACTCATCTTCCGTTTCCTCGGAGCAACGCTAGCAATACGAGAGTGACAACCACTTCAATGGAAGAAATTAGCTTTGTGACCTCCAATTTACAAAAAACATATAGTATCAAGTTTTCTTCAGTCATATGCACATTGCAAAGATACAATATGGCAGAGAATTATAATTTCAACCATATACAACAAGAACATAACAACTGTGCACGTACTGTTCACACTAGCACTTGAATGTTCTGATCGTTCAGATAAACAATGACTTATTTTGGATATATGTAGAATAGCCAAGACCAAACTTCAACCAAAAACCATTTTGAACACCTTACAGCTGGAAGCACAAAGCATTAAGAGGGAAGTGATAAGTGATTCCTACATTATCTTGCCGACGGACCACAAACATCAGACATTCTTGCAATATTTTCTATTTCAAGTGCACTGTTGGTATCGCTTATGTTGCTGACTTCTGTGTATAGGTTCTCACTGCATGTAACTAGGTTCTCAGTTCTATCAGGAGAAGTCTCTAGTTCCAAACTCTCTTTCAGCTGCATCACAACATCTGCCATGGTTGGCCTCTGATGGGACGCTTGTGATGTGCATTTCAGTGCGATATCAGCACACTTCCACACAGAATTGACATCATAATTCCCTTGCAGCTTGGCATCGACAACATCCTCAATATTTCCTCGGCCAAGCCTTTGGCGCACCCTTTGAACTATATGTGCATGCTCTGCACTTTGTACAATTGGAGGTTGCCCTGTGATCAGCTCCAAAAGAACCACCCCAAAGCTGTACACATCGCTTTTCTCACTGATCTGGAAGGTATTGTAGTACCTGCACAGGTAACATAACAATTTCCAATCATCTCTCCCCTTTCCTTTCCTCAAATTCATCTGGTCACTGATTTGCAAATACAAATTAGTTCAATATATAATCGTATATAACCTTGACGGACAAGTGCTTATATAAGCTACTCAAAGGTCAGAAAAAGAAGGACCCTAATTGTCATGGATTAAAGCAAAAGTTACAAAATAGAAAACCTATTTGCAATTGGTTGCCTATTTATCATCATTATTTTCCTGAATGAGACCAGTAACCATTTAGTCCAACAGATAACAAAGGTATACAGAGATGGATGACTAGATTTATGAAGTGCTTGACAAATGAGACAACTGTTTAATTTGCAGAGAATTAACACAAACAGAAAAGGTAATGGCAGCATCAGTAAAGACAGAGGCAGCACTTCAGAGAACTAATAGAACTAGTTTTTTTAGGTTAAAAAACATGTCAGTATATGATTCCTCCAAAATATTTTCCTGCTACATAATGTATTTTCATATTTAGATGTTATGTTAAATGTTAATGGTTGACAACCAAAAATTTAAATCAAACGTGTAGTCAACCACCGCTTTTTTTTTATTCGTCATCGCCATCCCAGGCAGTTATATTTTTTCAAGCAAAGGGAAAGAAATGAGAAAACTGACATACTCTGGATCAAGGTATCCTGGGGTTCCCACGACTGCCGTGGATACATGAGTATTGACCTCACTTTGAAAAGCTTTTGAGAGGCCAAAATCTGCTATCTTGGCCTCCAGCTTCTCACTTAATAGGATATTTGCTGTCTTCACATCTCTGTGAATTAATGCTGGTTTGCATCCCTTGTGCAAATACTCCAGTCCTGCACCACATTGAAATTCATGAACATGAAGACGAAAAAAATGAATATCTGAAGAATCAGGCCGAGTACTCGTATTAAAACTTTGCATTACTCCCAACCTTCTGCAGCCTCAACTGCAATCAGGAGACGCTGTCGCCAACTTAAAGGTCTGGTACTGTGTGTCCTTCCTGTATCATTTCATATCAACAAGACATCAACATCTGACGGGAAAGATCAATGCAGATAAATTGTATTACAGAGAGCTTGCTAAATAGTAACTAGCCTTGTCATCTCAAGTCATTTATGCTTCCCTAAACAGATGTGTAAAAATTGGAAATTTGCTGCAATTGAAACTTGAAAGTACCAACAAAGAATGGTGTAATTTTGGAATAGTTCTAAAAAATATATATAAATATTGGAATCAAATGTTAGTAGGCTCTCATTAGAAAAAAAACAGAGGAGAGAGAGAGAGAGAAAGAGAGTGTGTGTGTGTGTGTGTGTGTGTTTGAAGTATCCACTCATGTAAGAACTTTCAGATCATAGAGAGAGAGAGAGAGAGAGAGAGAGAGAGAGAGGAGGAGGAGGAGNGTGTGTGTGTGTG